TTCACGATTGGTTGCTGATACAAAGGAAATGACCATATTTGGATCCGATGAGATTGTGCAGGAGAGACACAGCTTTCTAACGATATCTCTGTTGACATGGTGCACACAGCGGTCGCGGTACTTTATGTTACGTTAGAAAGCTAACTTTTGGTGAATTTAGGAGAAATCTACTGACGCAAATAGACAAACTATAGTCAAATAAACACTTAAATGTGTATTTTGTACGTTTTCCTTCCAAAAGCCTGAAAGAAAACATGTTATAGAATCAAAATAGCACAAAATCTCAAAATTGACCAGTGCTTGAAAAACGATGTTTTTGCCTGCCGTGTCTCGCCACCGTATTTATTGAAATGTCGTCTGGATGCTGGGATAAGGATGACAGCGGTTGAGAGTAATCAGGGGGCAAATAATATGTTGAATGTCTGTGGCTGATGATTGTGTGCATCTGGGGGCCCTGGGTTGTCTCCTCCCCCCTCACCTGTGTCTAATTGCTCCCCCCTCACCTGTGTTTAATTGCTCCCCCTCACCTGTGTCTTGTTAGTGTCTGTGTATTTAAGTGCTGTTTCTTGTTGGGTGTGGGGTGTGTGAGATCCTGGTGGCTGCAGGATGTGTTCATGGAGAACAGCAGGATTGAGGCTGTGAACTTTGTGCACATTATTTTAATGAATGCCCACGTCGGGTTATATATTTTGGACGTTCTGCCTCCTTGCTTGGTCGCTCAACGGTCAGTCACACAGTGACCTTTTAAGAAATAAAACCCACTAAACTGATATTATTTGATTTTTACTGTAAAGCCCAGAGACAGAGACAAACCATCGTCCGAGGCCTGAGGTCTTTTGCTGTGTCCACCTGCATCCGCTTCACCCCCCTCAACAGACAGAGTGACTTTGTCGACATCCAGTCCCGATCAGGGTAATGACAATGCACACAACACACATGCATAACTAACAGAATCTATTTACACCTCCATACAAAAAACACTGTCTCAGGAGGGGAAGCAATTTGGCTGTTGAACTGATAGTTTTATGTCTTGCTCTCTTCCAGGTGTTTCTCCTTCGTCGGCCGTCGTGGTAGAAGCCAGGTAGTGTCTTTGAGTCGTCAGGGGTGTGTTTTCCAGCAGATCATCCAACATGAGCTGCTCCACGCCCTTGGCTTCGACCATGAGCAGACCCGGTCCGACAGAGACCAGCATGTCCGCATCCTTCTGCAGAACGTCATGCCCGGTGGGTCTCCCTCTTTCATCATGTAGAATACAGATGATACAATCGATCAAAATAGGGTTGTTCAATTAATACAACTGACCTTTATGGCCTTTGAAGGGGTAGTAGAGCCCCATTCCTCCAATACAGTATAACTAAATGGCACTTGGTTTGTGGTGCTCAAACTTCCAACAATTTCATTTGGAGCAGTCTCAAGTCACGCTGGAGGTTTTCCTTTGAGCGAGGGCAGACCCCGTGCCGGCCACGGCCCTCGCGTTTCAAACTGTCCGAAATGAGGTGCTACATCTGTACTTTCTTTCTACTCTTATCACCTCGCAGAAGAAAGCATTTATCTACTCATGGATGACTTGTATTTTCTTGTATATTCTTCAATAGCATAAAAACAGAGACTGTTTGATTGAGCCATGTGATCTCCTGCAGGAACGGAGTCCAATTTCAGGAGGATCAGAACAAGGAACCTTGGCACTCCCTATGACTACAACTCTGTTATGCACTATGACAGGTAACATAATAATAATAATAATACAACAACAACATGTGATGATAATGTTTCTCTGTGTCCTCTGGATTTGTTTTCTCACAGTTTTTTTTATCTAATGCAACTTCATAAAGTGATATTATGTCCCAAGTGGCCAAACGATTCCTAATACAACTTTACCACATGTTTCCTCATAGCTTTGTGTGTGTATGGGAGTCAGAGTCGAAAATTAATTAGCTTAATTGAGAACCTCCGTGATCTCCAATGTGTCTGCGCCTTTCATTTCTGTTTCAGTCCAAAAAGTGAACTTTATTGAGAGATTTTAGCATATGCACAATATTTGATGACGGAATGTTAGCTAGCTAAACGCTATTTCATCCAATTCTGCTTTCTGTGGTCATTCAGCAGCACAGGTGTCCAGTTGTTATCACTGCTGTGTTTGCACCACAGGTTTGCCTTCTCCAGGAACCGACAGCCGACCATCATCCCTATTCCCGACAGCAACGTAGCCATTGGGAGAGCCACCCAGATGAGTCCGACCGACATCCTCCGGGTCAACCGCCTCTACGGATGCAGTACGTACATTTTTATCAAAGTAGCTTACTGACTAAATGACTTTCTACATGTTCCTATAACTACAGTGTATTTCTGAGCTACACTGACCCCACCCATATCTGTAGTCTCTCATACTATCTCCCTACTGATAACATTCACAGAGGTCAGGCTCAACTCAAATCCAGAAACCCTATATGTGTCCCGCTCTATCGAAATCAGTCGGAAGCCGCAACGGCTCATTTCAAATTAAACGTGGATTTGCGTAAAAAACTAGTTTTTCGGGGTTGGGGTTTGATTTTAAGTCTTGGCTTTCGGAATATGAAACTGTTATTTCCAAAATCACACGATAAATACATTTTTGAAGCTTGTAAAGGGAAGATGGCACCTCTCACTCGCAATCTGCTCTTCCGCAGCGCCGCTTCCCCTCCCTCCGGCTGAAATTATGAATGTAAGGCGTAGTAATCATAGATAACACGGTAGGGTCCGTTACAGTTTGTTTTCATCTGATTTCAAATAAACAAAGTCTTGGCTTTCAGAAGATTATATTATTATATTCAGTGTGTGTGTGTGTGTGTGTGTGTGTGTGTGTGTGTGTGTGTGTGTGTGTGTGTGTGTGTGTGTGTGTGTGTGTGTGTGTG